ATCACACCTTCTCAGATGGTAGCCAACGTCTTTGGCACTGCGAGCCACACTCCAGCAGCCCACCCGCATCAGTCACCCAGTCTTGCCAAACAGCAGTCGTTCCCGCAGTACGAGAGCAGCAGCGCTACGACCAGCCCCTTCTTCAACCCGCCCGCGCAGCACAACGGCTCCGCGGCTTTCAACGGAGTAGAGGGGGGCAAGTGGGCTGCAGAGGACAAGCATGCGCAGCCTCCCGCCGCGGCGCCACAGGTGGACCCGTTCGAAGCACAGTGGGCAGCGCTGGAGGGCAAGGCAAAGCAGCGCACCAACCCCTCCCCCACCAACCCCTTCTCGAGTGATTTACAGAAGACGTTTGAGATTGAACTTTAAGCAGTCCGGGGGGGGTGGGGAGGGGGGTAGATAAATTGTACGTTAGAATAGAGGGATAAAGGGAGCAGAGGGGACCGTTTCCGATCAGTTTGCTTTGATAATCCCAAAGGTCCCTTCAAAGGAAAATGAGTTAGAAAGAGGGAGCAATTATGGGGAGGATATAAACATAGAGAGAATTTGATGTGGGTGGGAGGTTGTCACCTGCTTAGCAAAAGCTAGGTTTGTGGAAAAAGTTGAGCTTCCATTTTGGGTAACAAAGTGAATATTATATGTAAAGAATAAAGTAAAGCCAAAATCTTTATTTTTATGCATTTAGAATATTTTAAATAGTTGGATATTAAAAGCTGTATGAGTTGTAAGTAATCTTGCCAAAGGTTAAAAAAAAAAAGGGGGGGGGGATGTAAGAAATTGTACATAAGATTGATTTATCTCTGATTCTTATTGTAAGTAATATTGGGGGGGGTGGAAAAAGGGGCTCTAGCTTGTTCTTGTATCTGTTCATTGTAAGTAGCATATTGCAACAACAATCACAACCAATAAGTCATTATATCGTAGTTTTAAATAAAGAAAATCAAAGAACAGTATTGTCATGGTTTGTAAACCATGGGGAAAATGTACTGGTTTTTATCGGAATCAAGCTACATATTATATATAGTATGGGTTTTTTCCTTTCATGTATTGCTGCAGTTTCTTTGTCTTAATCTATCGGTTCTAACACTAATGTGACAACTTACTGTAATCATATCTACGTCCTGGGGCTGCCTGGGAAACCATTTTATGTTTGTCTGTCAATAGATCTTAGCAGTTTTTAACTTTGGTTTTATTTTTTTCCCACCGATTTGTGAAACCTTGTGGTTAAGGCTGCAGCTGGTCCAGGTTCTGCCTCTGGTGACTTGTGAAAACCATCTCATTTTAACTTTACTTTTAAACTTTGGCCTTACAAGCAAATGTAAGTTATATATATATTTGTACTGATGATTTATAATCTGCTTTAACAGAAATAAATGTTGGTGGTAGAAGCGCTGTCTGTGAAAGCTTTATCCCCCCCCCCCCCATTTTGTGTTACTCAGTGGGTGCGGATGAGCCCTGCTTGCCACCCTAGAAGCTTAGTGACGGTATCTTAGCACCTCTCATTTTGTACGCCATGTTAGGGTACCTTGAACTTTAGGACTGAACTTGCAAACATCCTTGTGACCTGTAACTGGATAAAGCTCTGGAGGGCTTCACTGAAAACGTCCGATTCTGGATTTGCATCACCATATTTTCTCAACATTGAATATTTAAACAGAGACAAATATGAAGACACTAACATTCAAAAAGGAAAAAAGGAGTACTCTGTTTTTCTTTCCCCTACTAGTAAATGGAGTGAAGATCCTAAGTGCCCTCTGAGAAGACAGTGTATTGTCACTCCTTTTGTCTTCTTCCAGTGAGCCGATACCTGCCCTGTTACTATGACTGGTTCTTCCGGCATTCTTACGTGCACCGTGTCGGTTTAGACACAAGGAAAAGTCAGACTTCGTAACCTGAAGAGGAAGAGGCACTCTCTTTGGCCCTAGCATGTGAGCTTGCCAGCAGTTTTGATTTCCAGGCAAGTGTAGCGACTCTCACAGTGACACTGGGACTTTTTTCTTTACAGACTCTTACCTGTTTTCAGTCTGACAGGGATAGTAATGGCCAACACTCCCTATAGTATTTGAGTTGCTACCAATGCTTTTTTCAGTTTTCAAAAAGCAAGCAAATATTTGTAGACATCTATAATAGGAAAGAAAGTACGCATAGGTTATTGTATTAGTGCCATATCTGTCACAGCAGTGCCCAAAGATCAGCTGAAAATAGCCCAGCATAGCTACACCCTTCCTCTGCCCCGAGAGAACAGTGAAGGAGATAAGCCCTTCCTGCAGTCCATTGTTGAGGGAAGAAAATGGACATCTTGATTCCCAAATCAAACAAAGTAAACATTCAGTTAGGCAGGTTACAGAGGGGAAAGCTCAGTTTACCAAATGGAAGAAATGCAAAAAGATGCTGGCGTTAACTGTTACAGTGAGGACACGTATTTAAAGCAGTGACCTGCCTGCCTTCAGCTGCTGCCCTGGTTCTGCAGCTGAAAGGAGGGCAGAGCGAACACGCACGTAACCAAGGCACGGTCAGTGTCGAAATCCTGCCCATCAGGGTACGGGTGCTGCTACAGCCCTCGAGGGTTGAGACAGTGCTCCCTGGCCCCATCGGGTAGAACTATGCTATGCAACTACTCCACTGACTACACAGACTATTTAAATATTCTAAAAACTCTGACATGGCAGAAAGGGTTATTATAGAAGTGACTGCTTCTTCTGGGACAAAAGGGTCTGCTACAACCACAACCAACTTCTAACCATGCTCCTGAGCAGGTCCACAGAGCTGGACTACTGTCTGTGCCTGCCACGTATCAACTGAGAGGTCTTCACTGGGACTGGAATTTAGACAGCCTGTGATTAGTCCCCGGTCTCAAGAGACAGAGTTGTACCAAGCCACTGGAATAGCCTATACACACACAAAAAAAGGTGCTCATCTGAGATGTTAAATGCAGAATTTTGTACAAACACAATTAGAAGCTATCTCAGGACCATCTCGTGGTTCTTAAATAGCCAGTGATGGCAACTTCGACCCTTGGGCTGTAGCGCCTTCCATAATTACAGCAGAGGAAGTGTTCCCCGATCAACGGGTCTTAACTGCAAAAATAAGTATTTTTGTCTTTTCTAGCAAGCAGAATCTATCAGACCACAGACAGACCCACCCCCAAACAGCTATGTGACTGTCACCTCGTGCTCCTTTACTGAATTCTGAATTGCTTCTAGACTTTGCAGTTTGTTCCCGTCTTAAAGCAGTGTGTCCAATCCTGAAGCCACACCTGCTGAAGCGCATGCAGTCACGAGGTTAATAATTCTTATTTTTAGGTGCAGCTGAACTGATTTACTGGATTTAGAGTCCAAACCAGCTTTAGGCTGTCAAGCCTGGGGATTTACACCTATGTATTACTGCTGCCCTGAGTACCGAGTCTGGACTGACAGAGAGGAGAGTGGTGTAAGCACAGCTCTGAATTAGCTGCCTTCCTTAGAAGCCTTAAAATAAAGTAACAGAAATAGGAAAAGGAAAAAAAAAAAAAGGCAACCCTGCACACCCCCCCCCACCCCCCCCCAACAGCAACACTACACATCAGTCCACTAGTTCATAGCTACATCAATGCAAATAACAAATGAGTGATGGTGCTAATTAATATGATTAACCCATCCAAGGCTCAGCAGGGAGTTTAAATGAGGAAGAGGGGGACTGTTAGGGCTGATGCTCGGGTAAAAAAATACCATGGAGGCTGTGAAAAATGCTTTTGCTTAGAAATAATTCCATTTTGAGATACTGAAGACACCCAAGGGCCTTTACTGGTTTATCATTAGATAATCTCACCTCCCCTGATTAATGCCTGAGACTGTCTTTTTCAGAGCCTCCTATGCCTGCTCGCTGCCGCTCAGTCTTGAAATGAAGCATGTTTTTCAGCTGTAGCTGCACTGCCTCTGGAAGTCCGCCCTCGTTAGCCCCTAGCAGCAGGAAACCGCCCAGCCCACAAGCAGAGCCAGGCTTTACCTGACTGAGACTAGAAGACAGATCATTGGGAGGTTTATTCTGGCAAGTCAAATACCCCTACATGTATTTTTATGTGTATATTATTTGCCTTCCCAAGCTGAAACAGCGCAATGCTACCACCGAGCTCAGCTTTGCAATAAATTCAAGAGCACAGTTCTGGCTCAGAAAAAAACCCAGAAATTATCTGCTGAGCCTTCTTAGAGCGAGTGATATTTAACCTGCAGCATCTCAGAACAGATAACAGTCATCTAAATTACCCCTAACATTCAGGAAGGGCTATAAATATTCTTCTATTTTGTCTTACGCTTTCTGTGAAGCATTGCTTCTGCATTTCACTCCAAAGCTGATTACAGTCAAGTAGAAACCAAAGTGACCCAACCAGAAATTTGTCTAAGGCCTACTGGCATAAAACAGCTCCAGTAATGTGATCTTACAGCTGCAGCCCTAGAGCTAGTAATCTCCTAGGACTTCTACACACATCGAGCTGTCTCCCATGGTCAGGGTCCTTTGCATTGAAGTGGAAGATGCTCCCCAGGATTACAAGCGTTCATTGCTCATTAGTGCTTTGATTAAGTCAGTTCAGGCCCATCTTCAAACACTTCAGAGGTTTGTTTTTTTTAAGAGCACTTCTCTCTCTGCTCGCATGAAGACTTGGTCCCTCCCTGTTTTGTGCTGGTTACCTGCCTTCTCTAAGTCCCGGCATCCTTACGCTCCCCGTGTCATCTTGTTCTGTGAATGACAGCAACTACCCTTAAGTGAAGAGATGGATTGGCTACAGCGAGCAGGGTGGGGGGGGAAGAAGTTTGCAATAAACTTGAGGGTGGTGGGTCTCCCACCTTCAAGCCGTTACACCCACTACGCTCTGTTCGCTTCACCCTCTTGAGCTTTCCAGCAGAGGAGAGCTCCCACCGCTGTTTCATGCAGTGAAAGTACAGAGTTCAGACTTCCAGTCTTGTCATAGGTCACCTGTACTTCCGTGTGGCCGTGGAGGCATTCGTCACCCGTGGAGGCGTCCGTCACACGCGGTGACGCTGCAGGCTGGCCTGGGGCTGGTAGCGAGCGCAGCTGGCGCAGCAGAAGCTGGCGTAGTATTCATTTCCGCAGAGCTGGGCCTGCAGGATCAGGCCACAGTTGGCGAGGTGGGGCTGGTCCACGCAGGCGCTGCTCA